GTGGAGGGACTCCCGTGCTCTCCCTCCCCTTCCTCCATGCCTGTCACCGGCTCCATGTGCACTTGCCCTCTGGGCACCGGTCCTCAGCCTTCCCACCACCTATCCTCAAGCACCTGCACAGGCGTGTGCCCCGGCTACGGGTAGACTGTGTCACAGGGTCGCCGGCCAGCGGGTGACCTGGCGGAGCGCTGGCCTGGACATCGGGTTGTCCCATGGGTGTGACCGGGATGCCGCGAGGGTGACAACGAGGACGCATCCTTCTTGCCTCTGCAGTCTTTCCCTTCAGGAGAGCCCATGGATCTGTGGCTCGCTCAGCAGGCAGCCTCAGGACCAAACTGCCCCATTTGAACCCAGGTCTGTCACTTGCTTTCTCTGAAACTTGGGCAAGCTCCTTAACCTTTGTGCCTCACTTTCCTGATCTGTGAAATGGGGTCACAGCAGTGACTTGGCGCCGGGGGTGTCGAGAGCACCGAGCGAGGCCATGCTGGCTGTGTTCGCATCACTCAGCAGCCCTCAGGCCTCCTCTGCTTAAACCCTGCAGGGCTTTCTACTTCTCTCCTGGCTGCACCTTCTGCCTCAGCACACAGCTCTCTTCTGCCCTGGCTCTCTGCCCTCTGGCCTCCTCCAGCCTCTGGAGGTACCAAGCTTCTCCCAGGCAGTCCCTCTCAGGCCCTCCCCAATACTCCCCCAGGCCTTCTCACACGTGCATCCCATCAGGCAACTGCCTTCCACCCTGGGAAAGGCCTGGGTCTCTTAGGCTCTGCTCTGCCTTCCCCTGGAGCCACACCACCCTCAGAACATGTACACGTTAGAGCTCACTAGGCTTGCTGGACCATCTGGTGACGGTGCCTCTGCCACGGACTGTCGGCTCTTTGCTTCCAGGGACCGGTTCTGTGTCTGCACACCCTGCCTCCCGGGACCCTGCCTCCCGGCCCCTGCCTGAGCAGGCAGAGTCAGTGACGAGTGAGGACGACGGCTGGGCACTGAAGGGGGGCTGGAGGGGCAGCAGCTTCTGCAGACAGTCCCGGCCCACCTCAGTATCCCACACTCAGGGAAGGCAGAACCAGACACATGGGGCTTCTGGGGACCCCCCATGAGCTGTGACCCCATGTCACCCTCAGCCATACTCAGCCAGAGCCTAATGTGCCCTCCACCCCAGAAGTGCAGCGGGTGGGAGGGATAATGCTGCCCCCATTCCCACAGCCTCAGGCTGGCCTGCTGGGAGTTCCAGGAGCCTTTCGGTATGGGGGGGGTGGGAGAGAAGAGGGGAGGGAGAGGAACTGCAGGGACAGGTTCCTGGGAAAGAAGGTTCCAGGAATGCTCAGGGCAGCCTTTTCTCTCAGCATCCTGTTCCCGAAGCTTCCGAGTTAACCTCTCACAGAGCTGGTAACGGCGCAAGGACCGCGAGGCCAGGGCCTGAGGGGCCATGAAGCAAGAGGTGCCCATGAGCCTTACACGGAGGGCAGCTGCCCCCACAGAGGACAGGAGAAGGGTGTGGGGATCGGGTGGACGCTGGATAAGGGCCTGAGAATAGAGGTCTGGAGGCTGATCAGGGTAGTGCCCTGGGTCCGAGGATTCGAAGGAGCTGGGCATCATGCTGGGCTTGGTCCTGCCTAGGAGCCCGAGAGCGGCCTTCCTGGTGCTGCCCACGTCCAGCCTCTCCATGTGGAGCATGTCCCCATAGTCATCGCCTCGGGCTCGTACTCTTGTGAAAAGATTCCCAAATGTCAATCTGCAGTTGCCTTTATGGGGGAAAGCTGACTGTAGTGAGAGAAACCTGAGGATAGAGCTGTTGACTCTGGTTAATTGGGAGATACGTGTGTGTGTGTGTTTGTGTGTGTGTACAATATGTGTGTATGTGTATATATGTATATGTGTGTGTGGTATGTGTATACATGTATGTATGTACATTATACATGTATACAGTGTGTGCGGTATGCATGTATATGTGTGTATGTGACGTGTGTGTGTGTGTGTGTGTGTGTGTGTGTGTGTGTACTCTGTGTGTGTGTGTGTGTGTGTGTGTGTATTTAAATAGTCCCAGAAAGGACTGGGTGCTGTGTTTACCTCTGACACATCTTATCAGTTTTGGTTTCTAACATTTCCTTCAATTCCTTCTTTCCAACCAATTTTCTTTTTGCCTCTTCCTCCTCCCAAGTCTTGCGATGCCGATTTGGCATCCACCACACACCAGCCTGGCATGGCTCTGTGGCTGACTGGACACAATGCAGGGCTGAGGTTCTAAAAGCCCCAAACAGCACTCCACGGAATCTCCAAATGCAGATGTTCACAGTCTCCCACTCCCACTGCCCTCCTTGGCCCAACAGTCTTAGAGAAACAGAGTGTATTCATCTCTTTCACGACCCGCGTGGAAAGAGTTCCAATTCAGGGTTCGGATTCTGGAGAAGGGCCGCACACAAATGAAGAGACTTCAGACTTTGAAGAAATTCAACTTGGCGACATGGGGGGCCATGTGGCAGTCCAACTCTAGTGGGAGAACTACTCCTGCTCTGGTCCTGCCATCCCTTTTATTGAGGCTTTGGGGAAACCATCTTAGGCAACATAAACAGAAATTTACATGTAGCCCTTAGGCAGGAAATAACAGAAACTTACACAGGGACAAACAAGGTGGAGGCTGCTTCAGCTAACAATGTCTCAACTAAAGGGTGAGTGGTTAGAGCAATTAAGGTTGTTGACTAGCCTTCCTGGCTTCCTGTCAACATCTCTCTTAAGTGAAACTGATTTGTTTCTGGCAAGAGTGAGCACAATGAGCCACTCACAGTTTTATTTTTCATTAACCATATCTTACATCTACAGGCTAGTCTCTTGTCAGCCTGACCTCCCTATATAGGCCCTGAGCTTATTAACCTGCTAAGTCTCCTGGCGGCTTTAGCTGGTGGAACAGAGTTGGGTTGGAGGATTGGGTGGGGGTCGTAGAGAAGGAACTGACCTTGCCAGGGAATGTACCCTCTCATCCATCACACACCCCTGGTGTGGAAAGTGAGGACCAGTGTCTCTCTCCTATTCCTCCCAGTGACTTGGGAGAAATGTGTGTGAATGTATCTGTTTGTAGATGGTTGGACACTTCACTTTTCGAAACTTCTTTCCTCATATTTTTCACAAACTGATCCACAAGGATTAGGAGTTAAAGAAGCTGAAATATAGCCCTAGTCAGTTTGGCTCAGTGAATAGAGCATCGGACTGTGGATGGAAGGGTCCTGGATTCGATTCCAGTCAAGGGCATGTTCCTTGGTTGCAGGCTCAATCCCTGGGCACCTGTGGGAAATAACCAATTGATGTGTCTCTCTCTGTCTATCTCCTTCCCTTCCACTCACTCTAAAAATCAATAGAAAAATATCTTCAGGTGAAGATTAACACACACACAAAAAAAAGAAGATGAAATGTAAACCCATGACGACCAGTCTAGATGCACGCTGAGTTCCTAGGATGCCAGCATCACTGGGCAACTTACCACATATGCACTTTTCTGGCCTGGGAGGAGGTCAGGCACTTTAATTGAGTTTTTCGGGTGATTGGCTGCTGGGGTCAGAGACTACATTGGAGAGCCGCTGAGAGGGACCCAACACTCTCTTCACCCTGACCCTCAGCTGAGGGATGAGGTTACGGAAGCCTTAAGGAAGGCAGTGGCTAGGGCAGAGCATGGACTAAAATGAACATCAGCTCTGGACTCTCCCCACTCTGTCTGCAGGGGAGCAGCCCACTAGGAAGCGAGCTTGCTTTGCAGTGGGATGGAGTTAGATCAGATGCAAGAACTTCTGGCAGAGGGAGCCAACATCCCTCCTTTCCCAGAGGACATTGACTCAGGACAGACCGTCAATGTGGGCATTCAGGTGCCAGCTAGGGGCAAAATGAAAGGAAGTAAACATCTTCAGAACAAACTCTACTGACTTTACATGAAAGGGACTAGAGGGCCTTCTCTCAGGCCTTCTGTGGAAGGTGAATCTTAGCCTCAAGAGCAACTTCAGTGGCCAGTGGGCTGGGAAGCCTACAGCTTGGTCCCAGCTCCAGGACAAGCTCAGTGATGCCGGGCCACTTGCTTGATTCTTTGGTCTCCATTTCTTCAACATCTGCTCATAAATGAATGGGTTCCTTTAGATTGTTTTTAATGCCTGTGGTTCCATTATTCTTATATTTTACTAGAGGCCCGGTGCATGAAATTTGTGCACTAATGGGGTATTCTCAGCCCAGCCTGCACCCTCTCCAATCTGGAACTCCTCAGAGGTCCACAGGGATTGGCCTAAATTGGTAATCAGATATTCCTCTCAGAATCTGGGACTGCTGGCTCCTAATGACTCGCCTGTCTGCCTGCCTGATTGCTCCCTAACCACTAACCTGCCAGCTGGATTGATGCCAAACCACTCCCCTGCCAGCCTGATCGTCCCCACTGCCCTCCTCTCCTGGCCCAATGCCCCCCAACTGCCCTCCCCTGCTGACCTGATCTTGCCCCCAACTGCCCTTCCCTGCTGGCCTGTTCACCCCCAACTGCCTTCCCCTGCAGGCCATCTTGTGGTGGCCATCTTATGGTGGCCATCTTGTGATGACAGGAGGGCCACCTAAGCTTTTATTAATATAGATTGTAATTCCATCCCCTGCAAAAGTGCCTTATACAGGGTGGGAACTCAGTGACATTTTAGTGACTAAATGAATTAATAAGTTGAATAAAAAACAACTCAATGTTGAGGTTTCAAGAAACCTATCTACCAGTTTTCCCCTTTGAAACCCCTATTCCAGTGCCTTTGAGTCTCTCTCTGAGCAGTCTGTGTGGTCCTTCCTGCCTTTTGTTCTTACTTAGTGTGCAGAGGATCTAATCTCCAGTGACTGTCAGTGATCATTCTGACCTTGGAGCAGCTTCTTAGAGTCACTCCCACGGCAGAGAAGCCAGACCAGGGTAGCATCCCCCAGCAGCAGTGGCCTTTGTCTCCGTCCTGGTGCCCTGTCCCATGCAGCTGCCCCTCTGATGGGCTCTCTCTCCCTTCCAGAAAGCAGACCTGGCCGTGGCTGGCCTCACCATTACCGCTGAGCGCGAGAAGGTGATTGATTTCTCCAAGCCGTTCATGACTCTGGGGATTAGCATTCTTTACCGCGTTCACATGGTAAGCATTTCTGTCATTCATCGTATTCGCATGCAAACACCAAGTTATATAGTAATTAAGAATGACTATGGAAATATTTAGAATTCAAGACTCAAGTGCTAATGTGCTGGGCTAGTGTTTCCCCCAGCAGCTGCACGATTGGTAAACAAGAAGAATGGGAGAGTCACACTTGTGGGTGAGCTTGTAAATACTGCGTCTGCCTCACTGAGTAGGGAGGGCCAGGAGAGACTGCTCAGTTAGGGATGGTTGGCCTGTTGGTCCCTCTGCTTCCCCCTAGAAGACAGGCCACAGCACAGCGAGGTCCCCAGCACCCTCCAGACTTCAGGGCTCAGCTGCCCTCTGCTCACTCGCAGCTTGGTGTCTGGTGAGGGCAGGCAGGCTCCTTCCACTAGTGAGTAAAGGGCAGGTCATTTAATGTCATGTATCCCTGACATGGCCCCACTTCTGCACACATTTTTAAATGACTTAATTTTTTAATTAATTTTAGAGACAGAGGAAGAGAGAGAAACATCAATTGATTGCCTCCAGCATACACCCCGACTGGGGATCAAACCTGCAACTTGGGCATGTGCCCTGACCAGGAATCAAACCGTGACCTTTCGCTCCATGGGATGATGCTCAACCAGCTGAGCACACTGGCCAGGGCACCGCCTATCTTAACAAGAGAAGGAGGCTTCTGTTAGGTTGGTTAGAGCGGTACAGCTGGTATTGAAAGGAGTTGGTGGAGGCATAGCAATGGACAGCAGAGGGTGGGCAAGATACCTAGCGGGCAGGGCAGGGAGGGAGCTGGCTGGGCCTCAGACCGCCATGGGCAGCCATCACATGGCCGGCACGTAGTTCTAGTTTGTCTGCTAAACCCGAAGAACTTCCTTTCATCTTCATGCCAAGCTAGCTCTTCGTGCCCTGGTGTTAGGTGGTTTTCCCGGCACTGCAGCCATGGGGTCCAAGGTCACACGGCATATTCCCCTGTGTTAGTTGGCACCACATGGCTACCCAGCAGGGAAGTCACCAAAGCTCATCCCAGGTGCCTGCTGAAGAAGCAACCCTCCCTCTTCTGATCCTCCTCGGGCCTCAGGTTTCAGTTCCAGGAAAGGTGATGTTTACGTTCCCAGCCCGAGCTCACAGAGCCAACAGCTGCTAGGGCCTCAGAGAAGAGGGCCCACTCCTCCAGGGAGACGCCTCCTTGCCCTGGCCACCAGGCGGCTCAGAGAGCACAGCTGGCCTGGGCCTGGTCCTCTCAGGCCTCCTGTTGGGCCTGGGGAAGAAGGCCCAGTATCTGGAAGAAGAGAACATCAAAACCCCAGGTTTCCAGGCAAAGACAGAGAGAAGGTGAGGGTCACAGACAGCTGTCGACAATGCTGTTGTCAAGACTCTTGTGGATAAAGGGAGTGTTAATCCTCTTTCTCCTCTTTTCACGGTGATGACAGCCCCCATTTCTCAGCACCTCCTCTGTGCCAGACACTCTCAGGCACCTGTGATGTGGCTCTTGTTACGGGTTGAAGTGGGGCCCCTCAAAAAATACGTTCAAGTTCTAACCCTCAGCACCTATGAGTATGGTCTTATTTGGAAATCAAGTTAAAATGAGGTCAGAGTGGATTAGAGTGTCTGGTTATAGTCACTAATGGTTATTGCCATTAGAGGAAGAGGGAAATCTGGACACAGTCGCACAGGGAGAAGACTGTATGAATCTGAAGACAGAGATTGGAGGGAGGTGTCCATAAGCCCGGAAATGTAGAGGCTTGCCAGCAGCACCAGGAGCTGGGAGAGACGAGGAAGGGTTCTTCCCTGAAGGCTTTAGAGAGAGCCTGGGCCCGCTCACATCTCCATCTGGGCCTTCCAGTTGCCAGGACCATGAGAAGGCACTTTTTTGCTATGTTAAGCCACCAGTGTGTGGTACTTTGTGGTGGCCACCCCCCGAGGAAACTAATGTGGCTGTTGTACTTGTTTTAAAAACTTGAACAAGATCACTTACCAATGAGTGAGAGAGAAGAGTTCAAAGCCAGGTGTAAGCCTATGTTCTCCTAGGATACCAGGCCTGCACCCTTATTTGTGGGACTTTTGAATAATTGTCCTGTGTACCCTTTCTCATTTGGCCCTCCGGACTGTTCTTTGAGGGAAAAGGGCCAGGATTACAATTCCATCTTAAACAAGGAGCTCGCACAGGGCTGGGCCTGGAACACAGGTGTCCTGACTCTCAGAACTGCGCTCCTCTCGGAGCTGCGCCTGGCAGAATTCCTGGTGTCTCTAGCTCCCACTGTGTCTTGAACCCACCCTACCTCCTCCAGCAGCTGGGCCCTGAGGGAACACCCAAAAGCAGATGGAGACAGGGATTAAAAAGTGAGAAAGAAATAAAGGCCAACATTGAATCAATGCCAAGCATTTTGCTGGATGTATTGCCCCTTTTTCAAGAAGGTCTTTTCACTTCAGAAAGATTGTCTAGGAAAATGGAGAACAGTGCTGAGTAAACCAGTGAATCATTTCTAATACTGCTTAATATTCTATTACAAGAAAACTGAAAATGAATAGTTTTATTTCTTAACACTAAATAACCTAATAGCCCATATAATGGAACTATGGCTTCCTGAATCATTTTAATGTTGATTATTTATTGAGTGCTCCTCTCTAAAGAAGCTAAAGGTGTTTTATCAACTTTAGTAATTCTCATGTTCTCCCTTCGTGCCTATCATGTTGTCCTATGATATGGAAAAACAAGTGGCACCGGAGAAGTTGAGTGGTTTGCCTAGCATCACTCAGCAAGACAAGGGCAATGCCAGAGTTAGATCTTAGGTCTACTCACACCTGATTTCCAACAAGCAATATGAAATATAGGCTGCATCTGGGCTGTATGCAAGCAACAACCCCATCTGTGGGTTTTGTGTAAGAGGAATTCATTGATTATCCTTCCCCCTGGGAGTCACAGATGAAAATTTCATGCTAAACCAAAATGTCATTGAGACAACTCATTGCAGACACACTGAGGGGAGCTCCCCTTAGTTCCTGGGGTGGGACAAGAAGACATATGCTCTTCTGCCTCTTCCTGAAGGAGTAATGGAAACTGTTGTCTTATCCCTTCATCCCAAGTGTGTTCTATTGACCACTGGCCATGACTGGTCTCTGTAAATTGCCTTGAGTTCCAACGACTTTGCCAAGTCTTTGTCATCAGCTCTGCTGGAGAGGGGATGGAGTACGGGGGGGGGGGGGGGGGGGGGGAGGATTCATTACAGTAGTTTATATGTAGGGAATGGTGACTAGGGTACAACTTTTCACAAACACAAGAGATCCCACCACAGTTGGACCCACTCTGTCCATCAGGAAAGGCTGACAGCATGGTGCCAGTGAGATGGAATCACTGGCATCTAAGTACCTTCCTCCAGGAGCGAGTCTGATGTTGCCCTTATGGCTTCCCTGGGGAGCCCTAGGGGACCCTTATGACTCATGTTATAACCACAGGAACCCTGGGAGTTGGGGAGTGACTATAACCAGATGGCACCCCCAACATCGTTAGCAGGTGTCACTGTAGGACACCTGCTGCATCGAGGGAGTGTCACTATAAAAGTACGTTCCCTCCTATCACATACCCCCTCCCTCATCCATTTCTGATAGCCATTAGATAGGAAGAGGCATGCACATACCTAGTGCACAGCCCTTACTATGTGTCATCGAGTTCTCAAAGCAACTACATGAAACAGGTTTTACTATTGCACCTGCTACAATGGAAAAAAAAGCCCAGGTAAGTTATGCGACTTGCTCAGTGTCACACAGTTTGTAAGTGTAAGCCACATCAATCCAAGTCTGTGTTTCCATTTGCTGCTTGTCCTGCATGACTGACTGGTCCTCATGCACCTGTTCCAGACTGGAAAAGCACTTGTGTTCTTTCTGTGATGTCACCTACTCCAGTACACACAGAACAAAGCATCAGGGAGTTATACAATAGGTTCTTTTAAGAATAAGAGGAATTGCCTACTTGCAAGGGGAGTTTGGTGCCACTTCATAGCCCCTGGGCAGCTCCACAGGTAACATTCTAAGAATCTCACCATGTGGACTGCTCAGTTGGTGACCAGCCCTTTGGCTCTCTGAAGCACAGTGCAAAAGTCAAGGGAACCATTTTCAATTTTTGGTGGCATCTAATTTTCAATCCCATCTGCAGAGCTTGACTTGTCCTAGGCAATTGGGACATAGACATTTATAACCAATTGCCGACCTTCAGAGTGGTGTATTCCCCCTGGAGAATGGCTCACCCTGCAGTCAACAGAGACGTGTAAAACCCAGTGTAAATGCCTATAGATACCACAGAGTATATCTGTTGTTTTAAGGCATTATTTATTATAACTCAAGTTCGCACAATTTGTAAGTGGTGAAACCAGGATTCGGTTCTAGGCAGTCTGGCTGGCTGATAAATAATGGTGGTTATAAGTAAGTGATGTTGAAGAGTACTATAAGGGTTGAGATAGAGCACATTGGAATTCTTCTGGCATTGAGGAGAAGGTGTGAAAGTAATTAGGGACATTATTGAATAAGGATAAGATGTCACCATGATGTCAGCAAGCATGTGCCCTCCCTGGGCCAGGACCCTCCTGGGCCTTCCCACCCTGCAATGTGGAGACCTGGCATTGAGTTCCAGAGAACACAGGGAAGCACTGAATTATTCAGAAGGAAAGTGTCACCATCATATACCTTTTGGGTTGAGGAAAATCAATTACTTGGAAGAAATGCCTATAGCATATGGATATGATTTGCTCCAAGCCCGGTACCTCAGAAGTCTTGGGAAGAAAGCCATCTAAAGCATCCCCACAGGAAAAAATGGTAGGCATTAGGATGCAAGTCCCATACTTCCCTTGGGCATCATATAAACTGTGGGCTCTGCCCAAGCCAAGACAGTGGAGGCCCAGACCCAAATCTCAAACAAACTGCCCCTCTTTGCTCTCCGGTTGGCATCAGCCAATCACAGATGGAATCAGATGGTGCCTTGCCAAGTAACTAGATGTGTTCAGTGGAACTGCGACCTTACAGCACAGTGTCACTCAAGATAAAATCAAGGATAGATTCTGACTTCAGCATGCAATGGGGTTCCAGATTCAGAAATCAACAAGAAGAGATTTTTTCATTAAAAAATTTGAAAAATTTTTTGGGGAAAATTTTTCATACTCTCAATTGAGACACAGAGTAAGATGATCATGACTGACAAGGCACATTGGACTCAAGTAATGTTTGCCCAGAGTCGGTGGCCACACAAGGTGTGGGCATGCCAGCCCCCACCCACTGGGCTCGAAGATGGGGCCTGCACAGTCTGCCTGCTGCTGGCTCTTAGCATGACGAGGAAGACACACCAGCCCCAGTACAAAAGAGCAACGTGTCTTTGTATAGCCAGGGGTTGCTCACCAGTTTTCTAAGTGCGCATGTATCAGTTGCAGTTTGAATTCAGTAATATTTTGTATTAGTTTCAGATGAACGGCATAGTGATTAGACAGTCATTTGTTTCACAGCATGGTCCCTCCCCTGATATTTCCCGTCCCCTCCTGGAACCGCTCAGGTCATTGCCGCATCATTGGCTACATTCCCTGTGCTGTGCTTTCCACCACTGTGACTATTTTGTAACTGCCAATCAATACTTCTCCATCCCTTCACCTTTCACCTAGCCCCCAGCCCCCTCCACAAGGCAACCATCAGTCTGTTCTCTGTGTCTATGAGTCTGTCTGCAGAATCCCTGAGCTTAGCACTGAGTTTCTATTCTATCCATGGATGCCCTAGATTTCTGGAATCATGAAATCACATTATTTTCCACCGGGAGTGGTCCTGTGGGAGCCCCTGGCCAGTGGTCTCACTGTGAGTAGAAGTGGCCACAGGAGCAGTGGGAGCTTTGGGGAGAGGCCGCCTGGCATGGTAGCCACCACTCAGCTCCAGCAGCTGAGAAGATGGGCCCGGTGTCTCCAGACCACCCAACAAAAGCAAGACTGCCAGAAATCTGGACTTTAAACAAAATCTCCATAACTAATGCTGGCAACTAATCAAAAGGAGGGAACACTGCAGGGTAAACAAGCAGCTGTCTGTGAGCTGCTTATGGAATAAGCATGAGTGTGTCACCTCTGATCGAGTCCAGCTCCCACCGAGGCTGGGGGAGTGTGGAGTGGCCCAAGACTCACAGCTCAATCAAGTTTCTGGCTTTCTCCTTCTCCTCCCTCCCACTGCCCACAGCTTCCTGCTCCTGGCTTCCTCCTTCTCCTCCAGGTCCACTGTCCACAGCTTCCTGTGACCAGCTCCCTCCTTTGACTTCCATGACTCTGGCCAAACTCACCCCTGGGCTGGGAACAAGCCCTGCTTCCCCGCAGCATCGCAGTCCCATCCTGGGCTTTGTGTCAGAAAGCCTGTGTCTGCCAACAAAGGACAAGTGCTGGCGAGGATGTGGAGAAAAAGGAACCCTCAGGCACTGCTGGTGGGAATGCAGACTGGTGCAGCCCCTGTGGAGAACAGTATGGAGTTTTCTAAAAAAACTAAAAATGGAACTGCCATTTGACCCAGTAATCCTACTTCTAGGAATATATCCCAAGCAATCAGAAACACCCATCAGAAAGAATATATGCACCCTTATGTTCATAGCACCACAATTTACCATAGCTAAGACTTGGAAACAGCCTAAATGCCCATCAGCAGATGAGTGGGTTAAAAACTGTGGTATATCTACACAATGGAATACTATGCTGCTGTAAAAAAAAGAAGGAACTCTTACCATTTGCAACAGCATGGATAGACCTGGAGAACATTATGTTGAGCAAAATAAGCCAGTCTGAGAAAGATAAATATCCCTTGTGAATATAATGAACAACATAAAAAATAGGTCCAGAGATATAGAAACATCAAACATTCTGTCAAACCTCGGAGGGAAGGCAGAGGAGGGTGGAGGTAAAGGAGAGAGATCAACCAACGGACTTGTATGCATGCTTATGAGCCTACCCAATGGACACAGACAGTAGGGAGGTGAGGGCATGCGCTGGGGGTGGGAATAGCCGGGAAGAGGTCAATGGGTGTGGGGGGGAGGGGGAGAGACATGTAATTCTTCAAACAACAAAGAATTTAAACTTAAAAAAGAGAGAGAACTAAACATGAGTTCGAGCTCTCACTTCTTCGCTATGTAATCTGAATATATCTCCTGACTGCCCTGGCTTTGGCTTCTTCACTTAAAAAATGGAAATAATCTGTGCCCCACAGCACTGGTTTGCAATTTATGAGAAGGTCTCACAGTGTGACCTGCAGAGAAACACTGTGTCCCGCTCCAGCACCATGGACAGCGACCGCTCAGCCGCAGCCTCTGCCTTCCGTGCTACTAGGGAGCATAGGGCAGGAGCACATGGCTGAGGCACAGGCAGCACCCAGAGCTCTGCGGCCCCTCTGGCCAAACCTCCTTCCCCCAGAAGGGACCTGGCCCAGGCTGATCTTTCATTTTGGAGCAGCCCCCTCCACACTTCCACTCCAGGGCACTCTACCTGCTCAGCCAGAACCCAAGGCCATGCACTCCAGGACCAGCGCTCACCAGACCCTGCCCCCCTGCCTGGCCCCAAAGCCTTCTCATCGAATGTGTGCTGTGAGTCTTGTTTTTATTTCCTTCTCCAGGGACGCAAGCCTGGCTACTTCTCCTTCCTGGACCCATTCTCTCCAGGTGTCTGGCTCTTCATGCTTCTGGCCTACCTGGCCGTCAGTTGCATCCTCTTCCTGGTGGCTCGGTAAAGTGTTCCCATCCCTTTCCTCACACTGCCACCTCGTGTCCGCCTCTGGGAACTACCTGGGATGGGTGGGGAGGAGAAGGCCTTGGAGCCAAACTAGAGGAACGGAGGGAGTCAGAACCTGAACCACCCTGCCCAGTTGTTGGCCTGGCACACACATTCCCATGGCACACACATTCCCAAATGTGTAAATGCCAACAGGTGAGCTTGCCCAACCTTGTACATGCACTCCTGCCTCTCGCCCTGCCTGCTTCCCTGTCTTCAGCAGCCTGTTCATGCAGGAGCCTTGGGTGGAAGGAGGGGAGGAGTGGAGGGGCAAGGAGATTAAGCACTCTGATTAAGCATTCTGCACTCCACTGCCTGGCATCAGTCTTCACCAGGATCTACCACAAAATCTGAGTGATAGGCAATAGGAATGGGGATGGAGGCCTGGGCGCTGAGGCCTTCTCTGCAGAGGCCTGGCCTCTCCCCAGCCCAGAGCTGCCTGTGAAAACAAAGCTGCCTTGTTGGACTGGAACATGAGGGTAGCAATGGCAGGGAGGCAGGATGGAGTGAGGCATTTGCCAGTAACATTAAGACACATGGTCCCATGAACCAGGAGGACATGGTTCAATTCCCAGTCAGGGTTTGATCCCCAGTCCGGAGCAAGTAGGAGGCAGCTGATCAGTGATTCTCTCTTGTTATTAGTGGTTCTCTCTCCCTTCTCTCCCTTCTGAAATGAAATATATATATATATATATATATATATATATATATATATATATATATCCAGAGTGGCCAGATTATTATGATCTCTTATTATATAGGATATACACTCAATGTATATCCTATATAATAAAAAGCTAATATGCAAATTGTCCCCTCTACCAGGAGTTTGACCAGCAGGCAGGCCAGCCAACCGTCCATGTCACCTCCCCCTGACCAGTCTGGCCAGACCCCCTCTCCTATGCAAAAATTCATTGACTGGGCCTCAAATATAAATATAAATGTAAATGTAAATATAAATGTAAATATAAATGTAAATATAAATGTAAATACTGAGTGGACAGATTATTATGCATTCAGAGATCATAATAATGTGGCCACTCACTGTATATATACTAGAGGCCCTGTGCATGAAATTCGTGCATGGGGAGGGGTGTTGCTTAGCCCGACCTGCACCCTCTCCAATCAGGGACCCCTTGAGGGATGTCTGACTGCCAGTTTAGGCCTGATCCTATGGCAGTTGGACATCCCTCTCACAATCTGGGACCACTGGCTTCTAACCATTTGCCTGCCTGCCTGGTTGTTCCCCAACTGACCCCTGCTGGGTTTGTTGCCCCCAACTGCCCCCTGTTGACCTGATCACCCCCAACTGCCCACCTGCCAGACTGGTCATCCCCTAACTGTCTGGAAGAAGTCGGACATCTGGAAGGTGTCCGGTCACCCAGTCTAATTAGCATATTATCTTTTATTAGTATAGATAACCCAGACGAGGGGTTGGGAAGAACCTGTCCTCCCCTCTCCCCAGAAGCCCAAGACTGCCCTGGGCCTATGGAGAGCCAAGGAGCCCCAGGCTGAGGCCTCCTGGGTGTGCACAGGAGGGTGTGCTCTCTAAGGCGTGGGGCATGAACCACCTGGCCCTTCATTACCCAGAAGCAGGACTCAGGCCAGGGCTCCTCATCCTCCCTCAGAGGGCGCCTCCCCTGAGCTCGGTGCCCGCAGTGAGGACAGCAAGGGCGCTTGTGCGGGAGGACAACTGCTCAGAGGGCACCTGGGGGCTGAGGGGCTCTGTCCCCCTCAGCAGCTGCTCTGCCTCGGCCACAGGGCCAGGCCTCCGTGTAGGTCCCATTCTCTCTGTGTGTGTTGGGGGGTTCTCCCTCAGCCGGCTCCTCAGTGGCCCCGGGGAGCTGTACTTTCTCCCATCAGAAGACGGGCCCCAAAACCACAGGGAGCCTAGCTGGGGGCAGTTCCCTGCCACCCAGGGGTGTTGCATCACCCAGTCTCTGCTGCTTCCTGGACATCAAAGCCCCGTTCAGGAAGCCATCGGGCCCCACAAAGAAAGCACTCTGACCGTCTGGTGGTCCTCAAAGATGCTGTGCACGCTGCTCAGCCACCACGTGCCCCTGGGGCCTGCAGCCCAGGCCAGTGCCAAGCCCCTGTGACAGCAGAGTGTCCCCGGCCACTGGCACGCTGCCTGGCCCCTCCCAGGCCGCACTGCCTGCTGCCCGTTAGGAGTGCTGCTGGACCCTGGCTTTGCTGCTCCCCACTCTCCCCTGCCCCTTTGATTGAGCCCCTCCTGCATCCGCACCACAGTCTCAGTGACCTTGAAAGTGCTGGCAATGGTCCTCCAGTTTGGCTACCAGCCCCCCCCTCTCTCTCTTTCTCTCTCTCTCTCTCTCTCTCTCTCTCACACACACACACACACACACACACACATACACACACACACTCACACATACACAGACACATACACACACATACACACCCACATACACACACTCACACACAATCTCTCACATACACACACTCACATACACACACACTCACACACACACTCACATACACACACTCACACACACATACACACACACTCACACACTCTCACATACACACACACACTCACACATACTCTCACATACACACACACACTCATACACACACACTCTCACACACACACACACACTGACATACACACACATTCTCTCTCATACACACACACGCACACACACACACACACACACACACACGCGAGCGCGCGTGCACACTCCTGCCTCACTATTGCCTGCCAGAGCCTGAACCTCTCAGCCAGTTGCAGGCCCCATCCTTGGTTTTGTATATCGGAGCTCTGCATCAGAATTCATGTGGAAAAGTAAACATGCTTCTATGATGAAAGCAAAACAACTACAAGCCGCCAGTATGGTCCAGGCCCCTGGGCTTTGGTTGGGAAAGTCCAAATCCAGAAAAGGACACCTCTCTGGAGCTTGGTGCCCACAGTGAGGACTTGCCCAAGGCCACGAGCCCAGGGACAGTGCAGACCAGAGGTCAGAAAGGGGAGCCCACCGAGCCCGCCCGTCCCCTGCCCCTCCGCAGCACCAGACATGTTCCTTTGCCCACAGGTTGACCCCTTACGAGTGGTACAGCCCGCATGCCTGTGCCCGGGGCCGGTGCGGCCTGCTGGTGAACCAGTACTCCCTGGGCAACAGCCTCTGGTTTCCGGTCGGCGGCTTCATGCAGCAGGGTTCCACCATCGCCCCGCGGGCTTTGTCCACGCGCTGTGTCAGCGGTGTCTGGTAAGATGGCAGAGAAAGGCCTCGTAGGCGGGACCTCAGGGTGCCTGCCTCCAAGGAGCCCTGCTCAGGGTGCACACCGCTCACCTGGGGCAGAACCTGGATCCCCGGGAGAGAGCCACAGCCTCTGCCTGGCCAAGTCCACCAGCGTGGAGTGGTGGGGCGCTTTGGGGCATCCTGCCCCTGCCCTCACACACAGACTGACTGAGACGGACTGAGAAAGCAGATGAAAGGCCTCAGCAGAGAGAGGATGCACAGACTGGGAGTGGCCTGAGGCCCAGCAGCTGGCAGGGCCTGTGCAGATAAATGTGCAAACAGGAGCATGGGCAGGAAATGCTATGGGTGGAGCCTGGCCCAGCCACCTCGCCGCCTGCCTCTTACCTCTCGGCCAGCCTCCTGCCCTCTGCACCGGGCATGGGTTTCCCAGGCCTGTCCGCCTCAGTGGGGAAGGGGCGGTGAGAGCAGGAGGCAGGGGATGCAAATCCGAGGTCACTCTGAATTAGACAGGCCCTGGGGGGCAAGTGGACAGCACACAGCCAGCCTCTGGTCTCCCAAGCAGAGGGCCAGCCTCCCCCAAAGCTCCAGTTCCTCCTTCTCCTCCTCCTCCTCCGGCTTGCCAGGCAGCGGCTACAGTGAGGGGAAACTCTTTGACACGTGAAGTACTGTTGACATGTGGACTAGACTGGCTTTAGATAGGACGGGAGGAGCTGACAGGGAATGTGCACCAGAGAGACAAGCTTACAGAGCACCAGCCCCCGCCTGCACTCGGAAGCCCACCTCGGGCTTGGCTGTCACACACACACGGTCCAGTGTGTGAGGCCCAGGACAGGGCAGGGGGCATGGTAGGGGGTCTGCACAGCAGCCAGAGGGGCTGACAGGACAGGAACACAGCTGGGACAGCAGCCCTTCCAGGCTGGGCTGTTGTTTCCTGGGGTTAAAGCATTTGGTCGGGGAGCTTGCACTGTCACACAGTCCATGGCTCCACATAGTGAACCAGGCTCCCATTGCCCAGAACAGAAGGGACAGTCTCAGGGCATCTGAACATCCAGGAGGCCTGGGCAGATGCCATGGAGACGAGAGAGTCAGCTACAGTGTCTGGCCCTGCCTCCTGAGCCCTGCCTCCCGGGGCCCTGCCTCCTGGGGCCCTGCCTCCCGGGCCCTGCCTCCTGGGCCCTGCCTCCTGGGGCCCTGCCTCCCGGGGCCCTGCCTCCTGGGCCCTGCCTCCTGGGCCCGCCTCCCGGGCCTGCCTCCAGGGGCCCTGCCTCCTGGGCCTGCCTCCGGGCCCTGCCTCCGGGGCCTGCCTCCCCGGGCCCTGCCTCCAGGGCCTGCCTTGCAGAGTGTACTGTTCCCTTGGCTATGTGCGCTCTGCCCGCACCAGGCCCTCCAGTGCAAGTGCCTGGCCCCCGGCTCAGAGACTCCACTTCCCAGCGAGCGTGTGTGTGGCGCCTCCCTCTGCCTCCTGGAGTTCTGGGTCGTTAACTCGGGGCTTGGTTTGGTGCTCGCTGGGGACTGGGAGAGGAAGACAGGCCGCTCTTAGCCTCCTCGCCCAGAGCAGGTGGCAGGCAGGCCGTGGAGCTCACCATGGACCGCCTTTTTCAGACTGGAGTGGGGACCACATGCAGTGGAGAGAGGGGGGGATGGATGCGGAATCTGCTTTCTCAGCAGAGGCAAGGCTTGCACTGACCTCTGACCCCTTCCATGGCGACAGGAGCATAGACAGCCACATGCCCGAGACTGGAGCCGAGTGTAAGGGCTGAGGAACCTCCCCAGCCAACAACAAGGTGGCGTCCACGCCCAGGGCTCCTTACGCCAGGGTCCTAGTAAAGACTGCTGAGCACAGTCACCTTCACCCTCACCGGGGCCACTCACCTCCCCTCCCCGCTTCCTCGGGGCATGGGCATGAGAAACTACTCCCAGCCGCGTGCAGACCTCGGCAGAAGCCGGAGAGCAGGTGGGGCTTAGAGCACACTGGCCTGCAGCCACACGCAGAGAAGGCAGCCAGCGGGTCCCCCCACAGCGGTGACAGGCCCATCTCCACCTTCTCTATACCCACACTCTGCTGGGGCGCACAGGTGATCTATCCCCTGATCTCCCATCTGCTCTCACAGCTTTCAAGGCCCAGCAGGCATTAGCACCCACTCACTAGGCCTGCGAGCAAGTCAGGGGACATGGCCCCTCCCCCCATCCTCACAGTAGACAGGACAGTGCCGTGACTAGAACCGTCACAAGTGTCTGGTGACTGGGCATGTGACTGCCCCACCAGGTGCCCCTGTCCCTCCTGGGAGGCAGCCCGAGGGAGCACTGGGAGAGTGGCAAAGGTGACGGCAAAGCCACCTGGGAGCCCTGGCTTCTGAACCCGGGCTGCCCCACGCCTGCGCGGGCACCGTCTTCCGGAGTGTGAGGCCTCGTGGACTCAGCCTCCCTGGGTCTGAAGTGTGACTATCCAGCCCAGGCGTGCCCAGGTAGATCCTGGAGCCCCTGCACGTCTAACGCCTTCGGGAGCAAATGGTTTTAGGGCTTTGTGTGCATGCTGCCCAAGTGGCACAGTGACTGTCATTTTAAATCAGCTCCATCCGCCCAGTACAGCGGCTTCTCCTTTGAAGTCACACGAGCACATGTGTCCCAGATGCCACTTCTGAGCAGCTCACAGAGCTTGTCAGCCGTCTGAGGCGTTTCTGCCGTGACAGTCCGCAGAGCGGGGTCAGCTCGAGCTGCTGGCAGGTGCTGTGCCCTTGGAACTACAGGGCCTCATCGGAAAGCCGGGATGACAGCTGTCCCTCAGCCCCCACACGGCACTGCTCCCCTGAAGGTTGGCTGTATCCTGAGGAGACAGCCAGGCTCTGAGCAGAACCTCAGAGTCTCCGCCTGCTCACTTCACACCCATTCCTGTCAGCCTCCCAAACTGCTCCTGTGCACGCACACCCTCATTGGGTAACAGGACCCTGCCTCCTTCCGGGCAGCCTCACACACCTGGCCCCTCCTGAGAGGGACCCCGGTCTATCCCCCAATCCCCCCCCCCCCCCCGAATCCACTCCTGGGCGAGCCCTGGGGACACGTGCTCTGTCCGTCCTGTGCAGGTGGGCGTTCACGCTGATCATCATCTCCTCCTACACGGCCAACCTGGCCGCCTTCCTGACGGTGCAGCGCATGGACGTGCCCATCGAGTCGGTGGACGACCTGGCCGACCAGACCACCATCGAGTACGGCACCATCCACGGTGGCTCCAGCATGACCTTCTTCCAAGTAAAGCCACTGGGTTGCTCACCAGCAGGGGGATGGGCAGCATACCGGGAGAGGTCTGTCCCTGGGCAGGGGCCTCTCTCTCCATCCAGATCTCTCTGGAGCATCTGCTTTGGGGTTCACATGAGACTGGGGTTCCTCCTGCTCCAGAAAACGCCCTGAGGTCCCCAGAGATTTGGGATTAGTGTTGGCCTGTCCCGAGTATTGCCTGTAGACAGAGTGATAGCTGAGGTTGTTTTAGGTACTATTTGGCAGAACTAATTTTTTAATTGCAGTAGCTTCATATTTCTTTTTAAATGAGTGTTAGAAATGTATATGCAATGAATCTAATCTGTGCTTCACTTACTATATTACTGCATAGGATGAGGCTAATGTATATATTGAAATGTTTTCTAAGTTACTTTAATTTTATAGGTCACTGAGACAAAGCAAGATTAAAATAATATGCAAATGGCTGGTGTGTAAGGAACACTAGATTAAAATGCTCTGGTTTTATTGATCCCAGACTGTATGGGTCTCAGATCAGAACCCTCGTGGCTGCTTGGGTTCCCTTGCGAGGCCCCAGAGGCCTGCCAGGGGGTGAGCCGCGCAGCAGACAGAGGACGGGTTCCCACAGGCTCAGGGCCCAGGGAAGCAGGGCCCAGAGCTAATGGTGGAACCAGCCACGTTCATTTTCATGAACAAGTTCAGGCCTCGGTTTCTGTTTCCCCATGAGGCCTGGAACCTGTGGACCCGGGGCCAGTGATAGCATCCTGCACACACAGGGTTTGGCAAGACCCCGGAGCGCTCCACCCTGTTATTACTGTTGTTCCTGAACTGGAGCTGGCCTAGGGCTGCCGGGGAAGACCTGGCGCTGGCCTGCAGGCGACATCTCTGTGACAGTCCCGGCTGGAGTGACACTCCAGTTCCCATTCTCGCTGCAGCTTCTTGGCAGACGAGGCCACACCAGGCACACAGAGGCCACAGCCTGCGGACCTGTCCCTCCCTGTCCTTCTGTGAAAGGCGTCAAGCTCCCTCCTCCCCTGCCATCAGGAAAGGGGAAGTGATGGGACAGGAAGGGCCATGGGATAGGATGGGACGAGGAGCAGGAGGGCAGATGTAAGGCCCACTGTGACTCCCGCCCCACTTTATGTTCCCGTTAATCCCTACACAAGGATATTTTTCCTTTGATTTTTAGAGAGAGTGGAAGCCGAGGGGGGAAAGGGAGAGAGACAGACAGAGACACATCAATTGATTACCTACCCCACACACCCCAAACACAGCCAGGCAAGAGCCTGCAACCAAGGTCCATGCCCTTGATGGGAATCGAACTGGGGACCCTTCAGCCCGCAGGCCAATGCTCTCTCCACGAGCCATCCTGGCCAGGGCTCTCTCTTCCTTTTAAACTAACATTTCCTTTTCTCTCCCTCCTCCTGCTTCTGTGTGCCCTTTCCCAGAACTCCCGCTACCAGACCTACCAGCGCATGTGGAACTACATGTACTCCAAGCAGCCGAGCGTGTTCGTGAAGAGCACGGAGGAGGGGGTCGCCAGGGTGCTCAACTCCAACTACGCCTTCCTCCTGGAGTCCACCATGAATGAGTACCACCGGCAGCGCAACTGCAACCTCACGCAGGTCGGGGGCCTGCTGGACACCAAGGGCTACGGCATCGGCATGCCCGTCGGTACGCAGAGCCCAGCCCGGGTGGCCTCAGCCAGAGGGGGGAGCACTAGGCCTCTGAGTGCCGCCCGGGATCCACCGCCTGATTCTAAGCCCAGGGTGGCTGTGATGTTGGGTGGGCATTGCTGAGAGCTCAAACCCACATGCTCCCACCAATCAGGGAGCAGTTCTCAGTCCTTACTCATGGAGGGCCACTTGATTAGGTATTGAGAGGGCAGGGCAGGGCGAGGATGAGCTCCCAACTCCGCCCAGCAGGGCGGAGTTATCCTAGCCCTCACCCAACCAATCAGGGTTAGCCGAGGCAGTGACATCACCACCGACCAGAGTGAAACCCCTGGACTGGGAGAAATTCTCTCTCTTCTGCCATGCTGCCAGTGTGAGTGGGGGAGCCCATGCTAGCATGGAAAAGACTCTTTTGTTTATTGCATCGGACTCAGCTCCCTGGTGGTCCTTGAGGATCACGAAGTCTGGGCATAACAGTATGAGGTAATTAACTGTTTATTTTAATATGTTTTTACAGATTTCAGAGAGGAAGGGAGAGAGAGAGAGAGAGAGAGAGAGAGAGAGAGAGAGAGAGAGAAACATTAATGATGAGAAAGAATCATGGATCGGCTGTCTCCTGCACCCCCAACTGAGGCCACAACCTAGACATGTGCCCTGACCAGGCATCGAACCATAGGTCAACACTCCACCACTGAGCCACACCAGCCAGTGATGAATTAATTCATTACTACATGGCATGTTGGTACCCTTGGTGGGGTTTTTTGGCTTCTGCTTTCCCCTCTTCTGCCCGTTGGCACTTCTCTGTTGGTTGGCATCTCGTAATGGGAAGGAGAAGGAGGAGAAAACTCACATGAATTCATTTTGCTACCGGTGTCCCAGGGCAAATTTATTACAGAGGAAGACTGACACAGATTGGATGAGAGGCTTTGCAGTCACAGTGCTCTCACAGATGCCCTGCTCTGGGTCAGCTTCCGGGTCAGCATCCAGCTTTTGGGCCACGTGCCCTCTGGCTGGCATGGGAGATAGAGAGGCTTGGCTTCCAGACGTGGCTGCGGCCCTGCTTCTAGCGGGAGCTGTGCTTCCTCCAGAGCTGCAGGGCGGCTTGAGCTGCTGGCTGTGAGTGTGGGGGCATCTGACATGGTTCCCAGGTGACTGGGTGCACACCCTCCTCCACACGCCACCAGGAGCCATGCTGTAGGGCTGACCTCTTCCGGCCACAGGGAGGAAGTGGGAACTGAGGCCACCAGGCCACAGGGGAACTGGCACACAGCTGTCATCTGTGCTGGCACCTCACACGCACCGCTCAGACTCTGTCAGCTCTGGGCGCCAGGTGGCCTGGGAGAGAAGAGCAGGGGCTGCAGCCAGGCCGGCTGGGAAGCACCTGCTCGCTGGCTGCAGGGCCTTGTTCAGTCCTTCACCTTCTCTGAGGCTCAGTCATCCCGCCTGGAAAACGGGTGGCTCGTGCCTACCATGTGGGGTACTTGTGAGGTGGATCTGACTTCCCACAGGGCCCAACACCAGCCTGCTTGGGGGAATGCTGGCGTCCTCCCGTCTTTCCCATAGCCCCCAGGGAAGTGGGGGTTGGCCGAGGCTCCTGAGGGAGCGGATGCCGGGAGGACTCACGCCCCACCGCTGGGCTCTCTGTGCCGCAGGCTCGGCCTTCCGGGACGAGTTCGACCTGGCCATCCTCCAGCTACAGGAGAACAACCGCCTAGAGATCCTGAAGCGCAAGTGGTGGGAAGGGGGGACGTGCCCCAAGGAGGAGGACCACCGAGCCAAAGGTAAGGGCTGCAGGCCGTGAGCTGGTCCTGTGGCCATCCCGCCAGGGGATTCCCAGTGTGCACAACGGCCTTGGAAGGAGCCAGGGGTGGGCTGGGGCTGCCTGGATCCTGCCTCATGGTCCTGGCAGAGGCCAGTGTCAATGCCCACCTGACTCAGGTGCCAGCGGCACTTCCACCCTCACTCCCCATCCAGCAACCTCTCACCTAGACACCTCCCACTCGGCCACCTCTTCCATCTTCCCTTCTCCTTCCCCCTCTCCTCTCCCCCCTCTCACCTCCCACCTCCCACCCACCCATCTCCTACCCGGCCACCTCCCACACCTCCTCCCTCCCCCCTTCCACCTCCCACCTGCCCACCTCCCACCTCTCACCACCTCCCACCTCTCACCTGGACACCTCTCACCATGGCCTACATTTCACCCTGGTCCACCCCTCCCCACCTTCCACCCTCACCCCTCCTGAGGGTCCTGAGCCCCAGTATATTCTTTAGGGGACACATACCCTGCTTTGCCCAGAGTCCTGCATCAGACCAGCTGTGGGTTATGTTTAGAAGTGCCCTCACCCTCAGAGCGTCCAGGCTGTCCTAGCTCCCTTCGCCATCTGCTGCAGCTCTGCCCAGAACTGTCCCCTCACTCCCCTGAGGAGGGCAGTGGTGCCCGGAGTGATAGCACCTCGCGTCCCCACCCTCTGCGTGAGGATCCCGGTGTCTCTCAGTCTCTCCTCGGGCTCTACCCTGAGGGACCTCATGCCTGTGCCTCATGGGCGTGCCCTCCTTGGTCAGGGAATCTCTGCTCTTCCTATCGCTGGACCCCAAGGCACACCCTTCCTAGCGGTCTGCTCCCCAAAAGCCGAGTGTGGAGGATGCAATCTCTGTGCATCCAGAGGAAAGAGAGATAGGGGCAGGGAAAGGCATCAGGGAACTTTCAAGATTGGACAGAATGAACCTGATGAGAAGGTGCCCAAAACCTGAACAGCCAGGAGGGCACCGCAGGCAGCAGGTGCCCGAGGACAGGCCTGGAGGCAGCGGCCGCAGTGGGCAGGCTGTGGGCAGGCAGTGGGCAGAGGCTGCAGTGGGCAGGCTGTGGGCAGGCAGTGGGCAGAGGCTGCAGTGGGCAGGCTGTGGGCAGAGGCTGCAGTGGGCAGGCTGTGGGCAGGCAGTGGGCAGAGGCTGCAGTGGGCAGGCAGTGGGCAGAGGCTGCAGTGGGCAGGCTGTGGGCAGGCAGTGGGCAGAGGCTGCAGTGGGCAGGCTGTGGGCAGAGGCTGCAGTGGGCAGGCTGTGGGCAGGCTTTGGGCAGAGGCCACAGTGGGCAGGCTGTGGGCAGACAGTGGGCAGAGGCTGCAGTGGGCAGACAGTGGGCAGAGGCCACAGTGGGCAGGCTTTGGGCAGAGGCCACAGTGGGCAGGCTGTGGGCAGAGACTGCAGTGGGAAGGCTGTGGGCAGGCAGTGGGCAGAGGCTGCAGTGGGAAGGCAGTGGGCAGAGTCTGCAGTGGGCAGGCTGTGGGCAGGCAGTGGGCAGAGGCTGCAGTGGGCAGGCTGTGGGCAGAGGCCACAGTGGGCAGGCTGTGGGTAGGCTGTGGGCAGAGGCCACAGTGGGCAGGCTGTGGGTAGGCTGTGGGCAGAGGCTGCAGTGGGCAGGCTGTGGGCAGGCAGTGGGCAGAGGCTGCAGTGGGCAGGCTGTGGGCAGAGGCTGCAGTGGGCAGACTGTGGGCAGGCTGTGGGCAGAGGCTGCAGTGGGCAGGCAGTAGGCAGAGGCTGCTGTGGGCAGGCAGTGGGCAGAGGCTGCAGTGGGCAGGCTGTGGGCAGAGGCTGCAGTGGGCAGACTGTGGGCAGGCAGTGGGCAGAGGCTGCAGTAGGCAGGCATTGGGCAGAGGCTGCAGTGGGCAGACAGTGGGCAGGCAGTGGGAAGACAGTGGGCAGACAGTGGGCAGAGGCTGCAGTGGGCAGAGGCTGTGGGCAGAGACTGCAGTGGGCAGAGGCTGCAGTGGGCAGGCAGTGGGCAGACAGTGGGCAGAGGCTGCAGTGGGCAGGCAGTGGGCAGGCTGTGGGCAGGCTGTGGGCACAGACTGAAGTGGGCAGGCAGTGGGCAGGCTGTGGGCAGAGGCTGCAGTGGGCAGGCAGTGGGCAGGCTGTGGGCAGAGGCTGCAGTGGGCAGAGGCTGCAGTGGGCAGGCAGTGGGCAGGCAATGGGCAGGCTGTGGGCGGAGTCTGCAGCATGGCAGGTGGAGCGGAGATGAGCCCAGGATAGGTGGCTGCCCACAGGGTGGCACCAGGGGAGCTGTGAGCAGCCATGTGGCCCTCCACCTCCCGTCCCTGTGCAGACGCATGTGACCAGGCCGGGAGAGCTGAAATAGTGAGATTGTCCACATGTTGGTGTTGGTCAATGCCCGGAACAGCGGTGAGCGAGCTGGGGAAGAGGCCCTTTGGCAGGGAAGGGGGAGGGGATGTGTTGGCGATGGACCTGAAGCATCTGAACTGGAAGTGGAGGGGCCCTGGGCCAGGGTGAGAGCTTTGGTCCTTCCTGGGACTGACTAGGAGGCCGGGCCCTGCTCCTGCCCAGCCCGCGGCGCCCTCTGTGCTGGGTGGGCGCTGGTCAGAGGACACTGCATTCTGCATCTCTGCCTGGGTGACGCCCCTAGATAGGCACCCAGTGTCACTGCTTCTGAGCCCCCAGCCTCCCTGGCGCCTGGCACAGGTTGGCAGGTCGATGTTTGCGGGAGGGACTGTGCTAACCATGGCTGAGCCTCCTGAAACTGTGCTTACGATTCCTCCCTGGGTGGCCTTCATGCCCAGGTTTCTGTGCATCCCAGGCGCCCTGCCCAGGAAGCCGGGGGCAGAGCTGGCGGCCTCGGAGCCGGAGCCGGACACCGGCCTCGCTTCTCTCCTGCTGCCCTGGGTGCTCAGCCAGGCACCCCACCTCACCACCTGGCGCCCTTCCCCTGGAGCAGCTACTGAGTCCCTCACTCCCTGGTTCCCCTGCCCCTTACCCAAACCCGCTGCAGGCCCTCGCCTTGGGCGCTCACTTCTATGTGTGCATGTGTGTGCGTGTGCAAGTGCACGTGTGTGTGCATGTGTGTGTGCATGTGTGTGTGTGTACGCGCGCTCCAGTGCACTTGCTCATCTACGCTCTCAAGCAGACACACGCAGGGAGGGCGACCTGGGTCTGGGTGCCTCAGTTTTCACGCAGGGACCTCGATGTACCAACTCTCCCCTGGGATGCCATCCAGAGTCCAATGGGCTCTGTGCCCCCACCCTTCCCCCAGGAGTGAGACTCTTCACGTCTTCACACGCCGAGCACGGCTCTCCCTGGGGCTGGTCTGAGGGGTCGGGATCAGGGCCTGTGGGTCAAACGGACCCACTCCACAGGTGTTCTTGTGCTGACACTGCTCAGGCCACGGTGCCCGAGGCCCTTCGTGGGAGAGAGGCAATCATTTTCCGTGTCAGACCACCAGGAAGATGGGAGGAGTTACCCCGTGCTCAGCACTCGTCACCGTGCCTGGCACACAGGAAATGAGTTCGGGTTTATTTTAAAATTTTGGTCTAAAGGAGCAATAAGGCAGGAGAGTCTAAACAGTGTCCACAAGCCACGGTGCCTGTCCACTCACTCCACACTCCATCAGACTACATCGCTCTTCGGAAACCGACACTTAGGGCATTTATTTTGTGTTTGTTGACATCTGTCTCCCGTGGACTAGGAGAAACCCAAGGTCAGAGCCTGGTTCTTGTTTTTGTATCCCAGTATGATATCCACAGCAGTATTGGATGAAAAGATAAGCAACAAATGAATGAACAAACGAATAAATGAGCAAACTTCTCAAGGACCTCCAGCCCGGTACCATCTCCACCTCATCCTATGTCCGCTTCCGCCCGAGCAGGGACACTGACCCGGGTGCTGGCATTTGGCAGTGTTCACAGTCCCCACTGCACCCCACAAACACTGTGGCCCTGCCTGCCAGGCCTGTGCTGGGCTCTGGGTGACAGAGAGGAACACGATGTGGCCCTCCGCCCAGAGGCTGCCTGGTGCTGCATGCAGGCCCGCTTTAGTGACGGGTTCTGAAGCCCAGAGGAAGAATGCTTTGGCAGACGTTTGGCCGGAACCTGGAAGATCTGTGAGAGCCACTGTTTCAGGAGCGCTGGGGGAACAGGGGCTGCCCGCGCAGCTGCTCTAGGTAAGCAGGAGGAGGTTGGAGCTGCAGGGCGCTGAGGCCTGGCCCTGCCCCAGGCTTCCCACAGAGGGCGAGTAGCAGAGGAAAATGGTCACACGCCTGGGATGTGCGGGCATAGCCTCAGGTAGCCACCATGCTTAGAATTTCCGTAAAGTGTTCCGTGTTGTCCTACATACACGTGTGAATTTTGCATCTGACTGCATGTTTATTTAATGTAGAAATGTTTTTCTACCTAAGCTTGAAATAAGTCAGCACTCCAGAAAATAGCCCCACAGAATGCCCAGAATTCAGCTGGTGCCCTGGCATGTGAATCCCACTCCGGGTTGGGATTCAGACCATTGGCTGCAGACCTCCTTGGTCCTGGGTGAGATGGGGCAGGATGGAAGCAGTGCTGTGAGGTAGAGCTCTGAGCTCTTGGTGGCATTCGTGGGCCCAGGGCACAGTCATTGCAGAACAGTGTTCTTAGCAGTCATAGTGTTTGGTCTTAGCCAGTTTGGTTCAGTGGATAGAGCATCAGCCTGCGTACCAAAGGGTCCCGGATTCGATTCCAGTCAAGGGCACGGACCTTGGTTGCAGGCTCCTCCCTGGCCTGGGCCCTGGTCAAGGCCCGAGCGGGAGGCAACCCATCGCTGTTTCCCTCACATGGATGTTTCTCTCTGTCTCCCTCTCCCTTCCACTCTCCCTAAAAATCAATGGAAAATACCTCAGGTGAGGATTAACAGAAAAAAAGCCATCCAGTTTGATTTGCTAGAAAAGTATTTTGGAAACAAAAGGTAATTGCCTGTAGGGACTTAGCATGCAGCTGGAGAGAGGAGAGAAGAGGAGAGCCCGCCTATC